GGGTTGAATTAGGAGGTTAAACCACCAAATGGTTGCCGAGCGCGGCTGTCTCTGCAGCTCACCGCTCCCCCAAGGGATGGGTCAAATGCGGAGAACAAATTTCACGAACACATCAGTGTGTGACAGCTGATGGGACTTCAACTTTAACTTTGACATGACAACAATGGACAGACAAGGGACACAAAACTGGGAGGGATTAAATACACGAGGAGCTGGAATCTACAGTGATTGGGAGACGAGAGGCAGGTGGGAGCAATCAGGAGAGACACAGACCTGAACAGAATGGGGAAACAGGACATGTTGTGACAGTACCAAGACGGAGTCTGGGGGGCTGGCGTCTGGGGCACAGGAGGCGATGGGCGAGGACAGGGCTGGTGGTGACTGGAGGCGCTGCTGACTTGAGTGGAGGCGGCACTAACTGGAGTGGAGGTGGCACTGACTGGAGTGGAGGCGCTGAAGGAGTTGACTGGAGTGGAGGCGGGACAGCTGGAACCAGAATTTCTGGAAGCGGGTCCGCTGACTTGGCTGGAGTCGGGACCACTGAAACCAGAATCTCTGGAGGTGATTCCACTGACTTGGCTGGAGGTGGGACCGCTGGAACCAGAATTTCTGGAGGCGGGTCCGCTGACTTGGCTGGAGGCAGGACCTCTGGAGGCAGGTCCGCTGATTTGGCTGGAGGTGGAGCCTCTGCGGGCGAGGCCGCTGACTTGGCTTGAGGCGGAGCCGCCACGGGCGGGGCCGCTGACTTGGTTTGAGGCGGAGCCGCCGCAGGCGGGGCCGCTGACTTGACTGGAGGCGGGACTGCCGCAGGCAGGGCTGCTGACTTGACTGGAGGCAAAGCCGCTGCAGGCGAGACAGCTGAATTGACTGGAGGCAGAACCACTGCAGGCAGGGCTGCTAACTTGACTGGAGGCGGAGCCGCCACGGGCGGGGCCGCTGACTTGACTGGAGGCAGAGCCGCCGCGAGCGTGGCCGCTGGCTTGACTGGAGGTGGGACGCCGCAGGCGGGGCTGCTGAATTGACTGCAGGCAGAGCCGCTGCAGATGGGGCCGCTGACTTGACTTGAGGCGGAGCCGCTGGGGCCTCTTGGACAGGCTGGGCCGGGGGCAGAGCCTCTTGGACAGGTTGCTGGAAGACCAGGGATGTTAGGGTCTCCACCTGGAACTCCTGGAGGCTGAGGATTTGACAAAGCCGGACCAACTCGGCTTGGAGGCCAGCGAGCTCTGTTGGATGGGCTGCCAGCTCGGTCCCTTGGCCTGGAGATGAGGGAGGAGATGACTGGACCGGAGTCAGAGGCTGGGGGTCCAAGCTGGCGCGCCAACATGGGTAGCGGTGAGCCCGCAGTGCAGCTCTGGGGCTGGAGGTGACTGTGGAGCCTGGGTTCCTTCCCAGCGCCGTGGGCCAACTCCGCGGAGCACACAGCCAGTCTGGTGCCCAAGTAGCAGGAGCGGTTCGGCTGCGTCTCCCACTCCAACCTCCTATGTAGCCGGCCGGTGGCTTAGGGTGAGCCACCGGAGCAGGTACTCCCAGGGAAGAGTTTCCCCGCTGGATCCAAATGCGGGAAAGAAGGCAGACAGGAAGACAGGAAAGTTTTGAGAGGGTTTTTAATCACGGACACAGGGGAACCAGCTCAGTGGCCTAGTGGTAGAGTGTCCGCCCTGAGACTGGGAGAAAAGGGTTTGAGTCCTGGTCGGGTCATACCAAAGACTTTGATAAATTGGAAACCAATGCCTCCCTGCTTGGCACTCAGCATTAAGGGTTGGATTGGGAGGTTAAACCACCAAATGGTTCCCGAGCGTGGCTGTGTCTGCAGCTCATTGCATCCCCCAAGGGATGGGTCAAATGCGGAGAACAAATTTCGCGCACACATCAGTGTGTGTGACAACTGATGGGACTTTAACTTTGACATGAAAACAATGGACAGACAAGGGACACAGAACTGGGAGGGTTTAAATACGCGAGGAGCTGGGATCTACAGTGACTGGGAGATGAGAGGCAGGTGGGAGCAATCAGGAGAGACGCAGGACTGAACAGAATAAGGAGTCAGGACAGGTTGTGACTACAGCAGCGGAAAGGTTTACTCGCAACAATTTCTGCACTCCACTACACACTGGGAGAGTCTCAGCCATGAAGCAGCTTTTCCGCTGTGCTTCTCGCTCAACTCACGAGATCACATAATCCCCCGAGACTTCTGCCATCCTCGTCGTTTAACTCGTGAGATCACAAAATCCCTCCAGTTTATGCCATCTGCCATTAAACCCAAATGAAAGATTACATTTTATATCCCTGTTTGGTGTCATATATGATGTTGCTTCTCTCCACTGCCAGGATTAAAGCTATGAAAAACCGCTGCACTTCTAGAACGATGCAGAGAGTAAATAGGCCGTTAGGTCAGTTGTACATAGATATAAAATCTCATCGCCACAATAGACTTATTATGAAAATTGCTGGGGATTTTACACTGAAAACGTGTGATTTCCTGTCTAGCCCTGTGTTAACTGCAGAAATCGAACCGAACCTATTGAGTGGCTGGTTTGAATCCCCCCATAGACTCCAATGGAATCTATTTGAAGCTGTGACGTTCCACTGCCGTTGTGCGCCGCTGATGCTTCCAGTGTGCAGTAGGCTTCAGAGTGCTAGTCCAGTCTGTTGGGATGGAGCTGACATACCTGGAGCTAGAGTACCTGGAGCTCCTGCAAGTGTTAGATCATGAATACAGGTGATTTGATTAATTTAGTGATGAATCACTCGTGTAGGCACTTATTAACACTGAGGGGACATTTCAGCTGTAAGATTAAGGTGTTAACAAGATATACGCATAGCGAGGAGATAGGTTTTGCTTTCTGATCTACAAACAGACACTAGGGGGTGCTAAAAGCAAACCATAACTGCCAAGTCTCCCTTTAAAAGTGAAATTTTGTGGAATTTTTATGTGAAATAACAAATTTGAGAATTCTTTACCAATCTGCTGGATTTTCATATGTGGTTCACAATATTTATTCTGTATTATTTAAATTTTAATAATCAACCATGTAACAATTTACTTTCTTTGTGTAAAAATTACTTAAATCATAAAATGTTGAACCAGGAGAACAAACAGTTCGAGGGGTCTTCATCCAGAATATAGTCGACAGACTTTGCTTTGTTCTATGATGTGATCAGTCTGATTTATATCTGTTTAAAATTTGGCTAAGAGAAAAATTTGAATCTGATATTTATTTATTTATTGACATTCTCACAGGACATAAATATTGTGCCTCTTTATCAGAAATACAAAACCAGCAGTAACTGAAGAAATCTTCAAATCTCTGTTTGTCTACTGATCAAATTAGAGCTGGCTGATTATCAGGGCATGATTCATCATTTTCCATCTCTCCACCTCTAAACTCATTAGTGGATGTGGGTTGTAGATTCCTGCTAATTACACACCATCTGATCTAATGAGATATGTGGTGTAATCAGTCCATGCACTCTGCAGAGAATCCTAAACCGGAAATCCTGTTTTTTTATAGTACTCCATAAATTCACCATAATTAAAAAACATAATTTCATAAACAGGTATTTTATTAAAAATATGCTAAAATAATACTATATAAACGACTGCATACATCAGAGAAAACAATTAACATTGATAATTAACTAATTTGTTTTCAGTTTTTCGGGCAATGGCCCTTTCAAACTAACTGTTCAAATCCATTGTCTTCATCTGGTGATACACTGAAATAGTTGGCATAGAGGTTGAATGAAGAGTTTCTTATGCTGCATCGTCTCCACTGTACTTGCTCAACCTTAATTCTGTCTTTTCCTTTTAGCTCTAAATTATAATTTTATTTGTGTATATTTTTTATTTGTGTTCTCCTGTTTGTTGTCGTGCCATTTCTTGCTAATTGTGAAGCACATTAAATTGCCATGTGTTTGAAATGTGCTACATAGGTAAAGCTGCCTTGCCTTGTCTCTGTCAAAAGTGAGCCCAAGTCTCCTCCCCTAAAGCTTGCTTTACAGTCATTTTTCTTCTCTTCTCTGTCTGGTTCGATGACGTCAATTTGGTGAGCCGAACATTTTCAGTCCGTTAAGTATTTTCACACAAAAACTAAAATAACTTGTCTGAAATAAGCACTTCGTTGGCATCAAAATGTGTTTTTGAAAATTCACGAACATTAATAGTGAAATCCATGGCACATACTGCATCAGAAAACAACTTTTATCCTTCCATAGACTCCCATTCATTTTTTAGGGCAGTTATGATCCATGGTCTAGTAGATGGGTGACTCGGGCTCCCTATAGAATGTGAGTGCAAACTTGCTGATGGAGAAAATGAACTAGGCTTAAAGGCCAAAACACATCATGGAGAAAAAACAATAAGGTTACTTTATTACATCTTATGAAAATAAGTTTAGTAAAAAAATCACCAGACAACTAAAAGCCTTTTTTGAAAACTTACTATCAGATCATCAGATGTACAACACATGAATAGTTGCTGATTAGTTGAATGACATTTAGTTCCCATTATTCAATATTTCTGGACCGACTCTCATATAATCACAACTTTCTAAAACCATTCCCTGAAGGCGAACTTTAAAGGTCTTTGTTGAAACACAACAGTACATATTGAGTTCATTTTGAGCCACAGTAAAGGTCAGGTGAACTCCCCAGTTTGTTTCAAACAAGCTTCGTGAACTTACAATGGCTTAGAGAGTGGCGGTGATTCTCCTCCCTGTGGTTTTGTAAAATTAGACACCACAGAGGTTTTTGTATCTGGATATGCAAAAGGACAACAGCTGTTACTCTTGGTGTTCCAACAGGAAGGGCGTAAAGATCCAAACAGTCTCTTCTTCCCTTTAATTTGGACTAACTATAGCACCACAGTGAAGAACCAAGACAGGCATGAGGGTGAAGTCTCTTGTTCTTTAAAGAACCAGCATAAATTATTTTGCTAATGCTAATGATACCTTGTCCTTTCCTCAATTATACCTATACCCTCAACTTTCTTCATTAAAACTAATGTTGCAGTGTCAAAAGATGAACCTAGCATGCATTTTCATGGACTGTGGGAAGAAGCCAGAGTGCATGGAGAAAACCTGACCAAGCACCGGGACAACAGACAAACTCCACATAAAAAGGCTCAAGCCAGGAATCCAACCAAAACAAAATAACAACTGTAATTTAATAAAATGTTAAACCTTAAAGATGGCAAATAGAAGCATTGCTTGTTTATTACTGGACCAGCTGGTTGGCACACAAATGGCAAAAGTTTAATCTAAAATGAAGCTAAACAAATATCACATTTAGGCAGCTTATGTTTTCAGAAATATTGCGACAAACTTCCTGTTTGAAGTGAGATGTTGTTGGACAGTAAGGTGGAAAGTTGCATGCAGCCACAAAGTGACCAATGTGTTCTACATTGTACTATTCTAAAGACATCGTGATTGCATTGCATGGATCTGTGAAGCCACAGAGAGAAAAGCTGTTAAAAGGAAATCTCCACAGATGACTCACACTCAGTAACGGCCTCAGAGTACATGAATGGATAACAGACAATAAGCAGAGGTCAAGGAGAGTCAGAGGGGGGCTCTAAAAATGGCTCAACAGTCTAAATAAGAACAAGCACTCACAGATCACCCCCATGTGATACTATCTTTTCCCTTAGAAGTCTGATTAATATGCCGTTATTTATTTTTGCTGCAAACAGAATACAGGCAGCCCTGGCTCCAGGGAATCCAGTATCTGTACGGCCACTGTCAACTAGTTACACCTGAAGAGAGAGGAGGTCTGGAGCAGACAGAGGGCCTAGGAGAACAGCAGACATGAACGTCAGAGGGCAAAAAGAAGCTGCAGGCTGATAACAGATGTGCCGGTCAGAAGAAGAGGAACATGATGACGTTTTCCATAAACTGATGGAATTCAGATGAAGTTAAACTCTGAGCTTTTGGGCTCAGGTGCTGATCCGATATCTGATAATAACCTGATTCAGATTCATTCAGCAGGATGTTAGAGAAATTTGTGAACTTGTTACACAGGCTAGCCTAAATAAATAAACAACCTAAAGTCAACAAAAATAAACAAGCTGACAGAGGACAGCTCAGAGGTCAGAGGTCATGAGATCTACAGCCTCAGAGAGGAAGCTTCTCTTCAACCTGTCTGGATTTTGAGGCAGCTCAACATAGTGCTTGAGAGACAGAGGGTGACTAGCTCATGAGCTGGAAGGATGGGGACCCAAAGGACACTCATTAAAATGCCTGCAAATCTAAAGTTTCAGCCTGTGATGTCATTGATACTATTATAAAACAACTTATCTTTTTTCCCTCCTTATATAAAGGTCCACATTACTTGTATGTTTAATACATTTGCAGTGGTCTCTATTAGGAATTGATGCCTTGTAAGGTGTACTCTGGGGAGTGGGCTCTGGTGTGCCTGTTTGAGAATGTAGAATTCAGCCAGAGGAGAAAGTAGCTTCAGACGACCTGATTTGGAGTCTTATTTCCTGATATTTGGACAACTCTCCTCTGACTGGCTAACAGCAACACGACTCTACCACTGACTCAACACTGCTTTTCAACATTGATGTTTTATCTCCACATATAACACAAGCGTGGAGGAGTTCTGCCGTGTGATGGAGATGCTAATGCTAAAGGTTAGCATCCAGGGGGGCTGCCAGAGATTTTGGGCCCCATGAAAAAATATCAAGTTTGGCCCCCTGGGGGCTGGGGTTCCACCCTCCCAGATTCGAAGGGAGAAAAAAATATATATATATACCGGTACTTTATATTAGTGTTTCAGTTTTGCTTAATTATGTAGGTCTACATGCATTCTTACTTATTTACATATCATTTTCACCAGCTGTCTCTCATTAAACAGTGAATTTCCTTCAACAGAATTAGCAATATCACTGCTGGAAAAAGCAGGAAATGCACATGCTGAAAGGTGTTAATCTCCTTTTCCCTATTCCCTTAAAATGTGTTTATTTATTCTAAGATTTTATTTGATAAAATTCAAATTTGGATATCTAATTAAATTTCCATGTTGTGTCAAAGCTTTACATAACTACATTTTCAGCTGTCTTTCCTCTTGAAATCAAGTATTTCTGTATGACTGACAAAAATTAAAGATTCACTGCTCACAAGGTGACTTATTTATTAAGTCTCCATGGCTTCATCATAGACACAAAATGAATAAGCACACAGTTCAAACCGGAGTCAGTTAGGGTTACATAAAATTTTAAATTTGGACAACTTTGCATGAATACGTATATACCGTAAATCCTCTAATACAGGCCCGGGCCTATATTTGACTCAAGCTCATCAAGCTCCAGGCCTTTATTGGAAGGAGGACCAGAATTAGAGGCAGGCCTCAATTTCTATTTGAGCAAAATGAACTAAAATTGCGCCCACATTTTCAAAGTTAAACACATTTCTTTTAACAATGGTAGTTTCTGCTTCACCTGACATTAGGAGTGTCCAGGCTCTGTACATAATGAAATTGATATATGTGTTACAATATAGGCTATCATTTGTGACAATCTTTATCCAAGTTACAACAGTCTTTAAAATTAATGCACAACAGGGAAAATGCAGCACAGACTCCTGCAGGATATTAGCTGTAGTTCTCGTTCATCAATACTAGAATTCATATTTTATTGTGTTCAATGTTATATTAAGTTTATTTATTACAACTGTTAATAGCTTTTGTTTCAGTTTTGCTCTCTGATGAATTATTTGTAAATTATTAATTTTTGGTTTGTGTTCTAAAAGCTACATAAACAAATGACATCTTGTAAAACCTCCCATAATTCAGTCAGATTTTAAACATTTCATTTCAAGGTATTTAGTAGATGAAGAGGATTTTTTTTCTTGTATGGTGCCTTCAAAAAGGTGCTTCATAGTAATTTTCTCACAGTAACATTAACAGTTACATTAACAGACTAAATAACAATGCTTCAACCTGCCCAGCATCCAAAACAATCTATACATTTTTATTGATTGTTTGTCCACATAATGATAATTATAAATATCAATGTGTTTATCACCAAAACTAGCCTTTTTATATTCCTTTGTAACAGTACTGATAGAGAAGAGAGCCTTAAGTGATTCCCACAGACCCCCTTAAATGAGGCAGCTAGCTAGCATGCTACATTGCTCACCTTCTTGAGGTTCATTGGGTTGTAAGGGGACACCTGCTGACATATCATCAGCTGCTGATTCTTGTAGGGACAAGGATGACAACCCGTTTACCATAATTAGATGAAACATAGTTCCTCTCACTGTGGATATCAGAGCTAGCTAACAGGTTGAATTTAACCACTCACTAACTAAACCCACCTTTCTTTGAGGAGAAACTGTGTGACATACTGACACCCTCTCTTCTGCCTGTCCTCTCTCTCCTTTCTTTCTTCGACCCAGACTTTGTTTTTGCAAACATAGTTTTACTGCAGCCTTGGCACTCTCTGACTGTCTGACTGCGGCGTAAGCTGGCTTCGCCTGCTACGCGCCCCTCGGCCAGGTGGACTGTGCCATTTTATGCCGTTGGGGGGGGGGGGGGGGGGTGTTCTAATTAATTAGTCGAAATAAAGTAGGGACCTCTGAACAAATATACATTTCATAAAGACTAAAAGATTGTTTGTTTAACGTCTTAAATGAGAAAAAATACTGCAAAGTAAAGTACTTGTGATTTTTAAACTACATTTTTTTTATTCAACTTTGAAACTTTTTTGTGTCCCTGACAAATGTGGGCCCTTAGAATCTTCCTAATCTTTCACCGCTTTACGGCTCCCCTGTTAGCATCTACAAGTCGGGATGTTCTCTCCAGTTTCGTGGACATTAAAGGGACTTTATGGAGTTTTGAATTTTTATGCTCACGATTGCCCCCTCAGGCCAAAAGCCTAAAGGCAGCTTCAATAGTAGGCTCGTGCACGAGGCACACATGCTGTACGTGCACACTCCTTAACGAAAATAGCAGCTGAGACAGTCAGCTCCGTGTGTGTGTGTGTGTGTGTGTGTGTGTGTGTGTGTGTGTGTGTGTGTGTGTGTGTGTGTGTGTGTGTGTGTGTGTGTGTGTGTGTGTGTGTGTGTGTGTGTGTGTGTGTGTGTGTGTGTGTGTGGCCCAGAGGACAGAGGACAGGGGAACGCGCAGCTAATTAATTAAATAATTTGGTTCTGTACCTTTCTCTTCAGCACAGCCGACAAAGGTTTAAGATTAGTCAGTCCTCCTGCCTGCTCTTGAAAAATTGTTCCAAAATAAGAGTTGAACCCACATCTTTTTTTATATGTGAATTCAATGCCGTTCGGCGAGTCTCAAATAAAAATTTGGGCATCTTACTGTAAAAAAAAAAAACCATTAATGTAAAAAAGAAACTCTAAATAAACTATGTTCACATCCAGAATCAAACCCAGGTCTTCTGCACAAAAGTCCAATGTCTTACTAGGCAAGCTAACACGCCAGTGACGTCACTTGTATCTGTACCATTTAAGAACAGTTCGGAGGGCTATGCCTGAGCGTGAAGGTGCATGAAGCAGCCTGCTCGACCCGAGCAGCTCTCTTTTTCTGTGATTTTACAGAAAAACGGGCAATCACAGTAAAAATGCCAGGGCTCATTCTACAGGACCAGGGCATTGCAGGAGAATGTATGAAGAAGAAATTTATTATTTCTATACATGTTTTGGCTGTCAAACTTTCATAATGTCCCTTTAAACCAACAACAGCCTTCTCTGTCACGAGTCCAGATGGGTGAGTCCATGAATATTAAGTGAAAGTGTGACGTAGATCTGTCAGGCTTTCCTGAACCGAGCATTTTTCTGTATTTCCTATCAGAAACTAATGCAGGAGATAGGTGTAGAAGACTATTTTATGTTGGGCAGCAGTAGCTCAACAGGTTGAGCGGGTTGTCCAGTAATCGGAAGGTTGCAGGTTCGATCGCGGCTCTGGACAGAGAATTCTGCTGTTGTGTCCTTGGGCAAGACACTTAACCCACCTTGCCTGCTGGTGGTGGTCGGAGGGACCGGTGGCGCCTGGGCTCGGCAGCCTCACCTCTGTCAGTGCGCCCCAGGGCAGCTGTGGCTACATCGTAGCTCATCACCATCAGTGTGTGAATGTGTGTGTGAATGGATGAATGATACACTGTAGTGTAAAGCGCTTTGGAGTCCTTACTCTGAGAGGTGCTATACAAGTGCAGGTCATTTATCATTTATCATGTTCAGCCTGCATGAAAAACTCAGAGTGACAGATTATGTTCAAAAATAATAAGTAAAAAATGTGTTTCTCAGTGAGCCTCCACTTTAATGATTTTTATACTTTTTTTTCTCACTACACCTACAACGGACCTCTTCTCACCTCTCTGTAATGCGCCCTCCTTGTCCACCTTTGTTAGATTGCATCCACGTGATAAACAACCTCCAACATCCTGATTTGAGCACCTTTCTCCCTTGATGGTAAACTTGAGGACATTTGGGCTGATTACTGGGTCCCACAGAATACAGCTTTGCCTTCACTCAGACGTACAAAGACTTCAGATCTTCAGGGAAACCCAGCAGCAGGAATGCCGTGGTATCCTGTTAAGGTGTTGTGAAGTGAGTTACGTTCAAGACTGATGATCAAATCAACATTGATCGTTCTCTAGATCTACCATTCCCCCACAGTCAGCATCACGGGAGGCTGATGGAAGCAGAACTACCATTACACAACCACTGCTTCCAGCGTGAAGCCTGTTTCAGACTTGTTATGCTGATTTTATGACGCAAATTTATTCTTTGCAGGCTACTGACGTCGTGTGTTCCATTTCAACTGTGACATAGTCTTTTCAGGGGGTTTTCCAGCAGGTAACAAATGGAAGACAAACATCACTCCAGTTGTTTACCCTGCTTTGATTCTGTTTCTGTGGCATCTGCCCTCTGAAGGACTGTTTACATCACACTCCAGAGCACACATCGGGCTGATTCATGGCTCCCTCCTGGTGCTGGAGGTGGCAAACGTTGGCATTTCTGGGGCCGACTCATGCCGGCTCATTCTCCTTTTTGTTGTTTTGCATTTTGTCCAGTTGAGACAATGGTGGATGGGGTCTGTAGGCCAAAATATTATTTCCAAAAATAAATTACAGGCATTCTCTTCAAAAGGCTGTTTGATGCACAAAGTGCCCAATATTAGTATACTATACATTTTCTTAAATCTGATGGTCTCAGATGTTTTTATTATATTTATTTTAAAATGGTGCAACTTTTGAGTAAAGCTGTTTTAAAAGTTTTGGTTACATGGAGACAACAGGTAACAGGCAGTATGAAAAGACAAATAAATAATTGTTTTCCTTAAAAATCAGAACCTCATTTTAAAAAAGCCTCTGCCAGCAGAATGTGTGTTGTGTTTGAGAGTTTAGTAACAAGTGTGCTCGCCTTTCCTTCTACAGTCCTTATGTGGTGTGTTTTTGAAGAGTATTCCCTGGTAATGGTTGGGTCCTGCAGCACCTGCTGGTGAAGAATTGTGAAAAGCTTTTAAGAGAAAGTTTCCAACATATCTTGAAACATTTGCAAGGGTTCCAAATTTCACCCGTTTTCAGTGGCAGGTCGAATGTGCTGCTGGAATTTTTAACATGATCAAAATTTGTGCAACAGATTTTTCCCCCCCCCCCAGATAATCAGTCTGGAACCCGTCTCAAATCCTTCTCGATTTAGTTTCAGAAAGTGTGAGGAAATATGAGATAGCGTTAGCAGGTGTTAGCAACCAAAGTGCATAGAAAGAGAATATATTTGAAACAAATTGTGATATGATTAAGGGATTTTGAGAAATGTACCCTATTGTCTCAATGTTTGGAGTAGCATGCTTTGCCCCGATGATAGGGCTATTAATAAAAAAATAAAAAATACATCACCCTTGCCGCAAAAAGCTACTTTATTGTCAGATGTGCAGAAGCGTGTTTCCCTGGGCAATGAATTAGTTACTTTGCTGCCCATGTTAGATATGCCAAAAGTATAATTTGGGTATAAAATAGATAAGAAATTACAAGCAAAATGTAATCAATCAAAAGATAAACTTTGTAAAAAGTGCAGGTGGAATCAACACCATCTGAATGTGTTTCTCAAAAGCATCCACATACTTTCTCATAATTTTGTCGTCAATAATCACAATGAATAAATAAAACATCTGCTAATTATGGGGTTGAAAGTGAGACGCAAAGTCTGTTGGTTTATTTTCAGCATAAACACACGGGTTCAGTAAAACTCATCTTCAGGCTTGTGGCCATGACGCCGGTGAATCAGACCAATGTTATTCATCACCCCAGATCTCATGTGGGCTTTGAACAACTTCATTTAGTCATCAATACAGATTTTAAGTTTCCCTTTAAACCTCCTCCTGTCGTCAGACATTAATGTGCTTCCCGTATATATTGGGGATTTTGCCCGCTAACTCTTGAAAGTGTTAGTCGCATCTTGACAGCAGGCAATTTTGTGTGTTTTCTTGCCACCCAACCACTCATGGATGCAGACAAAGATGTCAACAGAGATTCTCCCATTAGCTCAAATTTTCCTTTATGTGCACAAAACCATCTTTTGCTTCTGTGGGTGATTTTATTTATTTCTAACAAACTAAAAATACTATCAAATTCCTTATGGTTCTTAGTGCATTTTAGTGTGTGTGTGTGTGTGTGTGTGTGTGTGTGTGTGTGTGTGTGTGTGTGTGTGTGTGTGTGTGTGTGTGTGTGTGTGTGTGTGTGTGTGTGTGTGTGTGTGTGTGTGTGTGTGTGTCTGTGTCTGTGTGTGTGTGTGTCTGTGTCTGTGTGTGTCTGTGTGTGTATCTTATTATTATTATTATTATTATTAAGTAAGTGAGTTCATTTTGATGGTGGAGATGGACTTTATAATTAGTCTTAATTCATCTGATCACTCTTCGTTTGGGCAGCTCCCATGCTGCATTTTAAACGTGCTATATAAATAAACTATGCTATGCTTCGTTGTGTTCTGGAGTTTCTTCAAGCTGCCATCATAAAAACTGGAGCTACAAACGTTTTATTTGTGTTAGTCTTTCACTTCTGGCCAAGGCTGTGGGACTGATCTTGAAACTATTAATATAACAACAATATTTTGTCTATTTCCTATGAATGTACTTACTTTCCCCTAAGTAAAGGCATTTTTCTAGCTGTGTAATCCTCAGTAAATTACCCACTAAGAACAAACATAGCAAACTCCTGTTAGCAGAAATATTGTTTACTCTGATTTATGGACGATAAAACGGCTTTCACTCCAACGCTGCCTCACAACAACATGTAAATCTGGTTAATATCAGCATTTTGTTTTCCCTCCCTGTTATGCTGCTCCTGAAGTGGGAGTGTAATTTACTGCCTGAATCCACATGTTTGCTGACTGAGGACAAAACCAACTCATTATCTTCTGTTTGTTTCCATTAAAGGTCCGTGTTTGGATGAGAGCTGTTTATTGTTGGACGGATCACCGGGACTACATGGAGATGTCTGTTTTTGTGCACGAGGAACAGCAAAAGGAAGAAATGTGAGTGATGGATGAGGACGAGGCAGCAGC